CGAGCCATCAAGGCCTAACTGGTAATGAAATGGCCGATCAATTAGCAAAAGAAGGTGTCAATAAAGAACAAATCATGGACGATTTTGAAATCGAAGAAGAAAAAGAGGAAGAAATTTGTGATCTTGAAAATGTGATTATTAATATTGCTCCCCAACCGATTGGAAGCACAGAAGAAGAATCAGACGTCAAAGTGTGGAAAGTAAAAAGTGGGTTAGAAAAATCATTTCAGCAATTTGACAAGTCAAAGCAAAATAGAGGATTCGATCAAACTAACCTAACATTAGCATGGGACCACGAAGGAATGGATAAAGAATTTACTCGTCCAGAATTAACGCATGTATCGGAAGGTGAAAATGACGAAGAACTCCTTGATACTCTAGAAGCCCTGGATCCATGCCAAAATAGTGATGTCGAAGATGATGCATTCACAGAAAGGATAAGAAAATTTTTGGACAATTACAACAAGCGCCAAGTTTCAAATGTTGAAATAGAAAATTCGCCGCGACCTTCGCCTACATTACCTGCTAAACAAATTGAAGGAAGACAGAGTACAGTACGTTTCAGGGACGATCCAGATGTCATGCATTCCCCCGCTAAGGATTATTCCCAATGGCAAGGATCAATATTTCAAACACCTGGATTTTCCGTCATTCCTGATGCTCAATCTACTCCATTTGTCTACATGAAAACAAATGGTTCAAAAATGGGAAAAAAATCTAGTGTTGTGCCACGCCGACTACAGGAAAAAACTAATGATAATGTGTCGGGGACAAAGTGTACACCCATAGAAAAATCTTCCAAAGGTGTAGGTATTCCGTATTATGATTCCCCATCTTTTTCTGATACTTGTGACGACAATGACTTTAAAATAACGAAAGACGTGTTGACTAAAAATAACGTAATTCAAAAATGGTCAGAACCATTAACATATGAAAGAGACAATTATGCTCATTTCATGTCAGAAGATTGTGAACCAGTTGATGCTATTTCAAAACTTTTAGTGGCAACCGAGAGAATCGATCTTCAAGAACTGCAGGAAAAACGACCAAAAATAGGTCAGATACTTATTACCCCTAGTGGACGATATTGTACCTATTCAATAATTGTTAAACAAAGACATTATGACGAAATTGACTGGCGAAATGTAATTCTAGGTTTGAAAAATCTTAAATTAGCTTTGAGCCGAGATACTCGATCTACATGTCGTATGGCAAATACAGGTGATTTGTTAGGTTCCCTTCCCCAAGGTAAAATGACAGAATTATTAACAAAAATATTCCGCGGTGGCGATATCACTATGATATTGTGCCACGGAAAAATTGAAGTTCCACCCCCAGAATTGAGGCCAAAAATTATTTCGGAATATCACGAAAGTCTACTAGCAGGTCACAAGGGGATAACGAAGACATATAGACGAATTAGAGAACGCTACCTTTGGCCTCGAATGCGAGATGAAATAACAGAATTTATACGAGGATGTCAGAGTTGCCTTCAAAATAAATTAGTTAGAGCTCGTACTCGTGAACCAATGATAATAACCGATACTCCTGCAGGCCCTTTTGACAAAGTATCCCTAGATACCGTAGGAAAGTTACCTACTACTCCAAATGGGAATCGGTATATTCTCACTATGCAAGATAATTTCAGTAAATATTGCATAGCAGTCCCTATTTCCGATATAAAAACAACCACAATTGCTCATGCAGTAGCTACTCATTTATTCTCTCAGTTTGGAGCGCCTAGATGTGTTCTTACTGATCGAGGAGGAAGTTTTATAAGTTCACTCATGAGAAAATTGGAAAGAATTTTTGGAGTTAAACAAATTACCACTTCTGGCTACAGACCTCAAACCAATGGAGCATTAGAAAGAAGCCATATTGAGCTGACAGATTTTATTAAACATTATGCTGAGGATTTTGACGATTGGGATCGTCTTTTACCTTTTGCGATGTTTAATTATAATACATCAGTTCATGAGGCAACTAATTTCACTCCTTACGAGTTGGTTTTTGGGAAACTAGCTAGAATCCCAAGTTCGTTTCCCCAAGGACCAGAGCTTGAGACTTATGGTTCCTATTTAAAAGAACTTATAACTAGAATGAGCGAAATTCAAGGAATAGCTGCCAAAAATCTTGTCCAAGCGAAACTAAAGTCTAAAGAATATCATGATAGGACTGTCCGCCCTCTAAAAGCGAAAATTGGCGATAAGGTGTTCGCGTATAAAGAAATCCGAGCGAATAAATTCGATAAGAGAGCCGAAGGTCCTTATACCGTAGTAGGATTTACTCAAAATAATAATGTAATCCTAGAAGACGTAAATAACGAAAGATTCTCAAAACATAAAGATAAATTAATGATGGCGTATTGTTAATTAAAAATCTTTTCTCTTTTATCAGGTTGTGAAGAGATTGAAGCAAACTGTGTAAGGAGTACTAAAAAAAAAAAAAAAAAAAAAAGAACAATATGTACTTAAGCGTTAAAAATGCCACCTGCCAATTTTGAGGATGAAATAGTGTTAAATGGAGAAGAATATATAACGCTGATGTCCCCAGATTTAATTGTAGACGAAATAGACGTATTACTATCTCTAAAAACAAAACACAATTTTATTTCTGTAAATCTTCTAAACGTGGAATATGAAAATATTAGTCATTCTATAGAGAAGATAGGAAACGAATTTCTTTTAGTAGTTGGAAGTGTAGAATTAGAAGTTAACGGTGATAAAATTTTCTTTCTAGTTATAGACCCTAATACGGAATCATCTTTTCAATTTAATTCTGCAATAATTGGAACTAAAACTGCTATAACATTAGGATTAGTTTCAAACCTAACTGTAGAATATTATCTTCAACATCCCGTTTAATTATTAGGTATATATATATATTAAAAAATATATATATATATATATATAACTCAAAATGAGTGAATTTTTAGAAGTCTTGCTTCCCAATGTAGAAGATGTCCCTATTTCGGAAATTAGTCGGAAAAATCCACCATTAATTATCAAAAGATTATTAAAGGATTTCGAAAAATCATGGAAAATCCCAAGAACACTAGCTAATTTAGCATATAATGCCATATTGCTAGATTGTCTAAAAACTGCTCAAAATATTCGTGATGTTAGAGTTGCTGGTCAAACAATGATCATTTATGATGAATCCGACAATGAAATTCTCGAATCATTGACAGTAAAAGTATTTTCTGGACAAAGGACAATATTTCGATTAAAATCTGGTTTTATTTGTCTATATCCCAATCTCTATGCTATACTAAGATCTATTAAAATCATAGATCCAAAAAGCCTTTTGTATAATTATGTAGTGTATGTTATTCTAAGCAGTAATACACTCACTCTTCAAATAGGTCTAGATATGGGTTTTTCTTCCTGGATATATTATCTAATAAACAACATGAATTGCTGTTTTAGGCCTTTACAATTTCTACCAGATGGTCAATGCTTACACGTCTCTTTCCCATTGTCTCTCCCATTCAAGACACCTATCCACAAAGCTAGGAAAAATAAACTAAACAAAATAGGAATAACTGATTTTCATGAAATACCTATAAATAGGAGATTTACAAGTTGTTTGTGTTCATGTTTTGATTTACCACCATTGTTTAAAGAAGCAGAAGAGTCAAAATATCAAATTATAAACATACCCTATCCTTGGTATTTAAAAGATGATTTCGAATATATAGACCATAATTTCATAGAACGTTACAATGAAAATGACTGGCGACAATCTACTATAGAAAGCTTGTTCGAAACTCAATTCAGGAAAGCGTTAGTCGTTGGAGGGCATTTTCGAACTATTACCTATTACGAAAAGGAACTCGGGATGTCAGATACGCATGTACGACCAAACGAGTGTGAATAGTATCAGTCCTAATGTCAGTATGTATTGGAGAAATTCAAATACAAACACTGTTTTCATTTAAATTCAATTCTAACATTTATTTCTTCTGTAAAAATAGGAGGTCTAAAATCCCATTCAATAAAAACTATCTGGAATATTTCACCACGGCAAAGAAAGGATGGAAATTCCACTAATAGGAGGCATTTTAGATGTAAAAAACTACATCGCCATTGGATTCAAGGTTATACTATTGCTATTGATGCTGATCCTGTCTCGCAATATCTACCTATGCTATCGAAAGATATCTAGCAGACGTAGAAGAAACAACAATTTTCCACCGCCTCCTCCACCTGCGCCTCATGTGATGCTCCAGGACAGAGTTGCTTTTGACGTCTCTGTCTGAATAATAGTCGATGCTGAATCCTGCTGCTCCTTCCAAAATTAAATGTGTCCTGCATCAGATCCAGCAAAAGACCCAGATTTCATTCCCATTCAACAAAAGAGTCATACCATTGAAAAATTATCTTCAGTAGCTAAAAGAAAATTTATAATTACTCTCACGAAACTTTTAATTAAAATCAAAAACAATATTATAAAACTATACAAACCATCATCAAACAGGAAACCGAAGCCAATTTTTCAAAAAGAAATCCTACAAAAATAAAATAATAAGAAAAAGCAAAACAATAATGAATTAAGTGAATATTAACTATACGAACCAGTGCATATAATTTTCATCTTGTCAACATTCATCAACAATGCAGCGAGTTTTTGCTTGTTTTTCTACAAATAGTCCCAACAATTATCCAAATACGATGCTGAACTCTACAACAAATTCCAGTTTTCCCCATTCAAAATAAAATATACAAGTCCCAGTTCTCTCCATCAATAAAAGAATCTCCGTGTGCCAAGTGTAGTTTAATGAAGAAAATGGCCTCTCAGTTCTAAAGATGTGAGTGGTAAAAATTGTGATCAGTGCAACGATATTTTGAAATGTTGACTACATGCGATGAAATTCTACAAAAATAACTATAGTTAAAACAAGTAAAAGACAAAATTTTATATATATATGTATGATTTTTATACTCACTCTAATTGCTGCTACAGTCGTGCCCTAAGTTAAATTTTCATATTTTTCTCTTAAAAAAAAAAAAAATAAAATAAAAAAAAAAAAAAAAGCAGGGAAGTTTTACTGGAAGTGGAGATGAATAAGTAATTAAAATATTCTAAAAAAAAAACTAAAATAAATAAATAAAACAAAAACAACAACCAAACAAACATTCTTTGCTATTGAAAAAGATATATATATTTTCTAAATAAATTTTTATGAGTGATTATGTGTCAATGTGTGAGTAAATGAATGCGAGTAAATGCATATGTGTGAATAAATGCTGTGTGAATCTATTTACAATTTAAAAAAAAAAAAAAAAAAAAAACGTGGATATATCCGTAAATCCTGTGTCAAATTTTATGATTACAATTAGTATGCAAAATTTCAAGACAATCCGTTAAAATTTTCTGAGATAATTAGTAAACAATATTTTGTGATACACACACAAACACACACACACACACGCATACATCCGGACATTTGCTCAGAACTTAATATATATTAATTCTAGATGAAAGTGAGTCCATATAACCCAAATCAAAATTAAAATTAAATAATAATAGTAATAATAATATATATATATAATAAATTTACAATTATTAACTAAATAAAAAAAATATATATAAAAAAAAAAAATATAATAATAAAAAGATTAATAAAAAAAAAAAATAAAAATTTATATATATATATACATATTAATCGTCGCATCCGTAAACCACGCGATACTCAGTTCGAGTTCCTATTGCCTCCACAATCCGCAACTGAAGAATTACGCATAGTAATTCCTCGTAGGGGTTAGTAGGCCCAAAACACCAATCTAAAAAAAAAAAAAAAAAAAAAGAAAACAAAATTTACTTATTGAATGTACCCATATATAAAATATATATATTTTATAAACAGATTTACTAACACGGAGGGGGTGCGTCAGATTCCTCCTGATAAATTATGCGGTAATCGGCTGTATTATCGTCCTCCCCCCTCAATTTTATTTTCAAAAGAACTCCAATCACTTTCTCAAAGTGTTGGAGCTCAGGAAGGAGCTCTTGTCGGCGCAAGAATGGTACCCAACCTAATAAATTAATAAAAGATATACCATAAATAATTAAAATTATAAATAATTAAAATACTATTGTAAAAAAAAAAAAAAAAAAATAAAATTATTATTACCATCATTATCAGGCATCATGAGATCAGGAGGAGTTCTACTCCTGCCCAACGTTCGTGCTTCATGGCCATAATCTGTAAAATAAAATAGAATAAATGTAAGTATAAATGTTAAAAAAAAAAAAAAAAAAAAGCGTACAAATGTGATATAAAAAGTATATGAAGATAAAATTTTTTTTACCATTGCCCGCCAACACTAATTCAGGCATACCGGGAGGAGTCCTACTCCGGCCCGAACCTCGCATTGCTCGACCCTCACCTATAAAATGAAATAGAATAAATACAAGAACGAATGATAAAAAGGTCATACGAATGTGATAAATAAATAATATATATATATATATATATCTTACCATTATCCACCCACGAAAAGAGATCGGGCATATCGGGCGGAGTTATACTCCGACCCAAAGCTTGGGCTGCAAAACCATAAGCTGTAATATAAAAATTGAATGAATAAAAGTATGAATGTCAGAAAAGACGTACAAGTGTTATACAAAAATTTATATAAGGATACATGTAATGATAAAAAAACATACCGTTATCTGCCCAACAAACAAGCTCGGGCATGTCGGGGGGAGTCAAAGCCCTTGCTCCCTCAAACTCATCTGCCCAAGAAACAAGCTCGGGCATGTCGGGGGGAGTCAAAGCCCTTGCTCCCTGAACGTCATCTGTAAAAAAAAAAAAAAAAAAAAAAAAAAATAATAATAATAATGTTAATATAAACCCAAGTGTGTATTTAATATATAATATTCATGACTCACCTTCGACAAATATGTCATCTCCTAGTGACTCTATGTCACTCACATCTGGAGACGTAACATTCTCCGATTCGTCTTCTTCTTCTGCCTCATCTGTAAAAAAAAAAAAAAAGAAAAATGTATATATATACATATATAGGAACCCATAATTATGTATATGTTTTTCATCTAAAAAAAAAGAGAGGTTTTGTTACCTTCTGAATCTTCTTCGCAATTTAGTGACTCAATGTCACTTACATCCGGAGATGTTACATTTTCATCAATTCGATCTATAAAAATTAAAGTATTAATATGCATGTGTAAAATTTATACACGTATGGGCTTTACGTTAACAATATCCTACCTATTATAGGCAGATCATCACCTGCCAGGCCATTCTCTTCAGGCCAATCTTCACCTACCGGTTCCTCCACTAAAAATCCAGAATAAGCCACAAAAAATCAATAAATACAATTGAATTTAAAAATATTTCTCTAATATATATATATATTATACTTACATGTGGGGGGCAAGATGTGCTCCTGACTGGGCGGGCTTGGTGAGCCAGGGCTGCGATCGCGGGCTGCAATATTGCATCCGACCGTTGTTGTTTCCTCCTGATCACGCTCATCATCAGCATCGCTAGCAACCTCGTACTCATTGGCCTTATACCAATGCCATCCGTCTGTAATTAAGTACAAATGTAAATGTGTATATATTTTTATTTTTATTACCTTATTTTCTTATTCACAATACTTACCCTCTTCAATCGTAAAGCGGTATCTAATACCGGTGTGAGAACACACAGCGGAAACCACCCCTTCCTCAGCTCTTGCTGTAAAAACTAACAAAATCCCTAGGTTATAAAGTTTTTTTTTTCATATATTAAAAAAAAAAAAAAAAAAAAAAAAAAAAAATTTTGATGATAATAGTGCAATTATATTAAAATTTAAATAAAAATTATTACTAAAGTTTAGTAAAAGTTTTATTAAATAATTGTAATTTATAATAATTATCTCAAATTTAATAAAAAAATTGATAAATTTCTATTTTTATTGTTCAATAAACAATTTTTGTTAAATAATAAAAATTATAACAAAATTTATTAAATTTACTAATAAAGCGCAATTTTAGAATAATTAATAATTTTTGGTAAATTATAAAAAAATTACCTGATAATTATAAAAATTGTTAAATAAATAAAAAAAAAAAGGGGGACATAAAATAATTAAAATTTTGCAATAATAATGCAATTATTATTCTTTCTAATTCGAAATGATTTCAAGTCTTACATAGATTATATTATATTCATCTATATCGGATTTCCTCAAAATTTCTATATAGATTCTATATTGTTAGGCCTATATAGAAATCACATAAAAACCCCATATACATTCTAGAACATTTGACCTACGTCAATAATACATTTAAGTCCTATATAGATTCTACATACTATGGCCTACATAGCGCATATATATATCTTCTATAGAGGTCCTATATTACTTAGCCTACATAGAGGGGATGTAGTCAAGCGACAGATTGAGCATTTGTTATTAGATAGGCCGACCGACATAGATCCTACATTGAACCAACTTTAAATTTAATTTTAACAATTTTTTTTCAAAGTAATAAAAATTATTATTGAATTTCGTAAAAATTCGATAACTAAACAAAAATACGTTAAAATCAGATAAATTTTGGTAAATTTTTATTATATAACTAAATATTAAAAATTTGTTAAATAAACAATTTTTTTAAAAAAAAAAAAGTTAACAAAAATTCCCATAATTTTTATTTAAATAAACATTTATTAAATAATTTATAATTCTTGGTAAATTTTTATAAAATTAACTAATTAAAACAAAAAAATAAATAAATAAATAATAATATAATAATTATTAAAGAAATTGTTAGATAAATAAAAAATTTTTTTTATAATAATAATATAAGTATTATTAAAATTTAAATAATTATCAAAATTTTATTATATGTACCAAATTTAATTATTAAATTTTTGAAAATTGTTAAATAAACAATTTTTTTTTATATGTATAAAAAAAAAAAAATTTTTTTTTTGCTAAAAATTTATAACATTAAATAAATTTATTAAATAAACAAAACTTAGTAAACTTAAAATTTTTAACGAAATTTCTATTAAATAAATAATTAATTAATAATTAATTTAGTTAACTAATAGATGTTGTTTATTAGATAAAAATATAGGAGAAATTCATTCATAAAACTCATTATATACACTGTGCATTTAAATCCTATATTGTGGTCACTATGTTCAAACCCTAAGCATGTATACTCTATATATATATATACTGTGTACAAGGCATGAGCCGTGGCGCCGAGCTGTCTATACACGCACCCCTCTAAATAGATGGTACCCATGCCTAATAGCGCTTTAAATATATGAACCAAGACAAAAAAAAATGCAATTTTAAATGTCAATTTATTTTTATGAACAAAGAATTTTTTTTATAAAACATCAATAATAAAGTTGAAAATAATTAATTATTCTAATCAATTTTAATTTTACATTTACAAAATATTTTGATTAAGTAATTTTATATTGCTAATAAATTATAAACAATTAAAATTTTAAAGAAAGTTTAAAAAAATATATATATATATATATTAATTATAATCGATTGTTAATAAAAAAAAAAAAAAAAATATTAATTATATTTAAAATTATAATGAAATGTATGTTATTAATTTAATTAATAAAAAAAAAAAAAAAAAAAAAAAAGAAAATTAAACAAATATAATAATAGTAATAATAATATATTTTAGTTTTAATTTTAAAATATTTTTTTTTTTGTAATATAAGGTGTCTGGGTTCATATTATGATCATCGCGCTGGAACTGTGTATACATGTATATCTATATATGCTGTCATCAAGTGTAAGATGCGGCGCCGCATCGACTATATACATACCCCTCCAAGAGCATGGAATATACATTTGATAGTATTTAGAAAGCAAATTCAAAATTATGAACGATTTTCATCTTGAAATATTTTTAAATTGTTTAATTAATATTTAATGATCAATAATAATTATTATTATAAATTAATAACAAAAATTATTAATTTTATTTGAAATCTATAAAAAAAAAATAATAATAATAAATAAATAAAATTTTATTATAAACAAAATATTAATTAAAATTATTAAATAATTATTAAAATAAATAAATTAGGTTAAAAAAAAAAAAAAAAAAAAAAAAAAAAAAAAAAAATTTTTTATAATAATAATAATTATTATCTATTTTTAAAAGGATTGTGTATTTGCTTACTGAGAATGAGATATATATATATTTATCGATTGTTATAAACAATCAATAAATAATTGAATAATAGTAAAAAGAAATAAAAAAAAAAAAAAAAAAAAATAGAAAATTTTGAAACTTACCAAACCTTTCCATAAATTCTCTGCTGTTTTCCGCATTTCCAACCATTTTCACTCTCTTCTCACACTTTCTCACTAATTGTTTGTAATAAAAAAAAAAAAAAAAAAAAAAAAAAAATATATAGTTTTTCAAAGTTTTTGCACCACCCGCACTTTTACACTAATAAAAAAAAATATATATATAGTTTTCCAAAGTTTTTGCACTATTCGCACTTTTACAATAATTGTTTATAATAAAATCCTCCAATATCCACCAAAATTGTTCAAAATAAAATAATACCAAAAGTTTTAAATTTCACAAGCGCACTTGATCACTTCACGAAATGAACTGATTTGTATCAGCACAAAGACATTGACACTGGGTCCTATACTGTAGCAGTGCTTAGAAGAGTCACCAAGTAGACACAATATTTAGATTATATGTCGATATACAAAGTATAAAGAATGCTGTGGTCGAGACCATAAGTTTTTCGGGGACGAAAACGGAAAAATCCGCGGTGGATTGTTACGAACTATCGTAACGAAATTATAAATTAAAGATAAATAAAATGATAATAAATAATTTTCAAGAATAATTGAAAATCATTTAAGAAAAATCTCCAAGTAAATGCCACAATGTATATAGGCATGTAATTTGAATCCCCGATAATCGCGCGCGTTGAGTGATACTCCACACATACAGACTTATATTCTCGTTGCTTCTAAAAATGTATCTATGAGTATGATATTATAATATAACTTTGTTAAACAGTTATATTATAATATATTATTTTATTCTATCTTATGTTATATTTTTCTATATTATTATTTATACTATATTATATTATGCCATATTATAAATTATATTAATTATCTAATACCAATATTCAAGCTTGAATATTATAAATATATGCATGAAAAATATAATATAGTGTACTTACCTTATATAAAGATACTAAAATATTAATTATTATAAATAAAACAATTATACTTTACTCATTTTTTTTTATAATTTGCAGTAATTAATTAATTAATAGTATGCAAATTATTGTTAATTCATTAATTTTTTTTTACTATTATAATAATGATAAATCGTATTATTATCATTGTTATTAACATTTACTAAAATTAATATTAATAATTAATCATAATTATTATTATAAACAATTGGATATATTACCAATACTATTTTTCTACTTATTAGAATCATCATTATCAAATATTATTTCAAAGAATATGCATTGTATATGCACGTATGCGTGTGCATTATTTTTATCGTGTGTACGTGAGTGCATAGTATGCCGAGGTGACACAGATAGACATGTGTATGTATTGTGTGGTAATTTTACGCATATAATAATAAATAATAATAATATGGTTATTATATTGCAATTATTATATTTAAGAAGAATGTATTATTTTAAGAAGGGAGAAGAATCGCATACGTCAATTCTATCTATCTTTCTCTCTCTTACGCGTGCAGGTGCAAAGAGTCTCGCAGCGTGGATGCGGTACACACAGACACGGACTCCCCATAGCCTTCGTAACGCATATGTGTGAGGCGCTCGAGGAGTATCGCGCGATGCATACACTGCTTTCCTTCCCTTATTCTTTTCCTTATAATACCTTCAAACTCAAAAAAAAAAAGGAAATAAAAATACAATAATTGTTGATAGCTTAAATTGGAACATGCCACATTTTCCAAGCACATATAAACTCGCAACAATTAAGATTTTATTTTAAGAGGGTCAATTTTGTAAAAGAACAAAATGCACATAAAAAAAAAAAAAAAAAGAGGGGGAAGAAAATTTTTGAGACATGTATGTCGTGCATATATGCATGTATATTAAGGTAAACGTACGTATGTATATGTAAAATGTATATATATATATATAAAAAGGAAAATAGTTTCATTTTTAATATGAAAACGATAATCTGTGCAGAACTATGACCGCTCTGGAATTCAACAAAGGTTGCGAGTTATACTTTATTAAAAACACACATATACACTTACACATATGGAGATGTGCAGTTCCAATAGTGTCAACAAAGAAAAGAATAACAAGAATCATGGGTTCTGAGAATATCGATGGACGATGATCTAAGTTTTCTTATCGATACCCCTGAAACCCCCAGAATCCTTCTACCCCTGATTCACTAATCCCACTAAGTGCATCTCGCGATGCTCTTTATAAGCAGAAGCTCATAGGGCCTCATTGCCTATTCGTCTTCAGTCAATCACTTAGTACGTGTTACTGATTTTTGCATTATTTCTTTAAAAAGTGAACTTAGAGTTTAAACTGTGGAGAAAGCTCAATAATATACCTGCTGAATCACGATAGATTTTCGTTGAGCCAGGTAAATTAACAGCAGTGCTTAAATTTCTAAAATTAAAATTGCTGAATCACGATAGATTTTCGTTGAGCCAATTTTTAATTTTAAG